CCATGCGGGTGCAGGGGCCCAGGCACTTCGGCCATCTTCCACTGCTTTCCTAGGCCAGGACTTGAACCGGCGCCCATATGGGATGCTAGCACTGCAGGTGGAGACTTAGTCTACTAGGCCACAGTGCCGGGCCCAAGTCCATTGTTTTCTTCTTTGTACTTGTTTGGTGTTTTCCAAGCTTTGAAAAAAAAATATATATTTGACTATTAAAAATTTTAAGTGCACACAGGAGCTAAGACAAAGTAGTTTCAAAAAATCTTTCAGCAGGGGCAGAGTTGTGGCACAGAAAGTTAGGCTGCTGCCTGAGAGGCAGGTATCCCATATGGGCACTGGTTCAAGTCCTGCTGCTCCACTTCTGGTCCAGTTCCCTGTTAATACACCTGGGAAAGTAGTGGAGGATGACCCAAGTGCTTAGGCCTCTGCTACCCATGTGGAAGACCCAGATGAAGCTCCTGCCTCCTGGCTTCAGCCCAGCCCTGGTTGTTGTGGCCATTTGGGGAGTGAACCAGTGGATGGAAGATCTCTCTGTCCTGTCTCTCCCTCTTTCTCTGTCACTCTGTCTTTCAAATAAATAAACTGATTAATCTTTAAAAAAAAAAACAAATCGTTAATTTTCTCAGTGGGAAGTCGTGCCTGGGAGCTCCTATAATTTCCATTTTCTTATCCCCTCCTCCCACCTCCAGAGTCAATTAACTGTTTGGCTGCAAGATGCAGTCGTCCCAGAGTGGCAGCAATGTACTTCCCCTAGTCCTGGGGCCAGGAACTCCTCCCCTAAATTGACACTTCATGGCCAAATCTCAAAGCTGAAGGACATGCCACCTCAACACACTGACACCACTTTTTTTTCTTTTCTTTTTTCTTTTTTTGACAGGCAGAGTGGACAGTGAGAGAGAGAGACAGAGAGAAAGGTCTTCCTTTTACCGTTGGTTCACCCTCCAATGGCCGCCGCAGCCGGTGCACCACGCTGATCCGAAGCCAGGAGCCAGGTGCTTCTCCTGGTCTCCCATGCAGGTGCAGGGCCCAAGCACTTGGGCCATCCTCCACTGCACTCCCTGGCCCCAGCAGAGAGCTGGCCTGGAAGAGGGGCAACCGGGACAGAATCCGACGACCCGACCGGGACTAGAACCCGGTGTGCCGGCGCCGCAAGGCAGAGGATTAGCCTATTGAGCCACGGTGCCGGTGACACCACCTTATCACTTCTGCACTTGACCTTGGATTCTGCCCTTCCCCTGCATTCTGTCCACAGCCACAGGCACGAGCACAGGCAGCAGGTCAGGCTCAGCATCCAGTCATTCCAGCTGGGCATCCGACAGTGACAGAACACACTTTCCTGAGCCAGGCTGGCCATTCTCATCACGTCTGTAAGTGTCTGCGTGCTGTGATTTAAAAAACAATCCCTGTTCCTTGGTGTGTAGAATGATGTCACCCATGAACGTTAAAGCTCTCCTTACTGTAAATTACTTTACCACAGTCCTTTGAAAGAGACAGAGCAACAGGACTGCACAGGGCCACAGAGAAACAGGGTGTTAGAAGCAATGGAAAGCTGGCGCCGCGGCTCACTAGGCTAATCCTCCGCCTAGCGGCGCCGGCACACCGGGTTCTAGTCCCGGTTGCCCCTCTTCCAGGCCAGCTCTCTGCTGTGGCCAGGGAGTGCAGTGGAGGATGGCCCAGGTGCTTGGGCCCTGCACCCCATGGGAGACCAGGAGAAGCACCTGGCTCCTGCCATCGGATCAGCGCGGTGCACCGGTCGCAGTGCGCCGGCTGTGGTGGCCATTGGAGGGTGAACCAACGGCAAAGGAAGACCTTTCTCTCTGTCTCTCTCTCTCACTGTCCACTCTGCCTGTCAAAAAAAAAAAAAAAAAAAAAAAAAAGAAGAAGCGATGGAAGGAGGAGCAGAAACCAAACTCTGGTGCACAAAACATGCACATGTCCTCAACCACGCCTGCAACTGGCCCACAGAACAGATGCATGACCAGCTCTTGTTTACTGTATTTTATTTTATTTACATATTTTATAAACATATTTTAGTTCTTTACATTTATTTATTTGAAAGGCAGAATGACAGAGAGAGAGAGAGAGAATCTTCCATACAGTGGTTCACTCCTCAAATACCTGCAACAGCTGGGGCTAGGCCAGGTCAAAGCCAGAAACTGAGCACTCCATCGGGTCTTCCACATGGGTGGCAGGGACCCAAGTACTTGGGCCATTGTCTGCCGCCTTCCAAGTGCATTAGCAGGTAGCTGGATGGTAAGTGGAGCAGCCAGGACTCAAACCAGCAGTCCAATTTGCCATGTTGGGTTGTGGAACCTCTAGCAAATGGGGCCTGGTGGGATGTCCTTAGGAGCCTCCCTGGGGCTGTGCCCTTGGAAGGGACTGTTGGGCCCCAGCCTCTCTCTGGCTTCCTGTTTGGAACATGATCTCTTCCCAGCATGAGGTAATGCATCGCCAGAGCTGAGCCCATGTCAGCGCCAAGTTTTGAATCTCCAAAACTCTGAGCGAAATATGCCACTTCTCTTTATATAATTTAGCTTGCCTCCGATATTTCATTACATTTAGTTAAAAAAAATAAACTAAGACACTTATCCACTGATCAAGCCCATAACTTGGGGGAAAAAATGCAAAACAGTCCATCTTGTGGAAATGTGGACATGCTAAGCTCTGCACAGAGTTGTTAGGCAGGTGCTAACTGCACGGTGGTTTTTGAAAAGGAAACATAAAATGATTCACCAAAGGACATGACCCAGTATGGGACTATGCCAAGTGTCAGGTCAGAGAAAGTGAAAACAGGACAGATCAAAGAGGACTCCCTCCGGAGCAGAGGAATCAGAGAGAGAAAGGTTCTCGCTTCCACTCTCAAGGCTCTGACCTCATTTTGAGCTTCAAATGACCACAGGCTAACCCAATTCTCAAACTGTGCAGGCAAACAAGTCCTGACACCAGAAACAACACAGCAACTGTCCCAGCTCAGAGGAAAGAGTAGAGAATGCAGAGGGGTGTAAGGGGAGAAGCAGCAGTCTCAGTCTACAGCACCAGAGATAGGAGGGCTTAGCCCTGGGAGCTCAGAGTACCCCAGACACAGGTCCCGGCCTGGCTGGTCCCTGTCACTCCCTACCTCATCCAGTTTGCTATTGCAGTTCCCCACCCCGACATGCATGAGCCTATGTCAGGATGCATTGAGTGCTGCGGAGAGGTGGAAGGCAGGCCGATGAAGCAAATGAAAGGGATGGAGGCTGCATAACTTTTTTTTTTTTCAACCCTGATGCAAATTTTTAAAAATTATTAACATATTTCATAGGTACAAGTCTAAGAAGATAACCATACTTCTCTCCCTCACTCACTTCTTCCCTCAATCTCTCTCTTTCCTTCCTTCTTTATTTTAATTTTTGCAAAAACATAATTTTGACCCATTCTACAGGGGCTGCACTGTTTTAAAAGCCACACACCCACCAAGTGGCTTTGATGTCTCCTCACAACCCTTCAGAGACACTGCTGCTACTCACTGGTAGAATTTCTGCATCCAGCTGTACTTGACACGACAAATGGCTCACGTGGGGTATAGCTCCCAGCCCCAGATATCTGTTAGCCAACAGTTCCAGTGGAGCCAACCTCAACTTAGTTTTTTAATTTATTTACTTATTTTATTTATTTGAAAGGCAGGCAGAAAGACAGACAGATCTCACATCCGCTGGTTCACTTCTCACAAGCCAGCAACAACCAGGGATGGGTCAGGCCAAAGCCAGGAGCCAGGAATTCCAAATGGGTCTCCCCTATGGGTGTGGGGACCCATGTACTTGAGAAATGTATCATCTGCTGCCTCCCAGGTGCATGAGAAGGAAGCTAGAACTGGGAGTGGAGTCAGAACTTGAATTCACACACTTCAATATAGGATACAAGTATCTCAGTCTGCAGGCCAAATGCCTGCCATGTTTAGTATATGGTTTTAGAACTCACTGTCTTGGCGTGGGCTTTTGGTGCAAGTTAAGACACCACTTAGCACACCAGCATCCATAGTGGAGTGCCTGGGTTCCAGTCTGGCTCTACTTCTGATCCCAGCTTCCTGCAGATGTACACTTACACTCTGGGAGGCAGCAGGTGATCGCCCAAGCAGTGCCACTCAAGTGGGAGACCCAGAGATGGAGTTCTCAGTTCATGGCTTTGGCCTGACCCAGTGCCGGCTGTTCTGTGCATTTGGGGAATGAACCAGAGAGGATGGCAGGTCTCACTGTCTGTCTCCATCTTTCCAAATAAATAATAAAATTAAAGGGAAAAAAAAGAGTTCAACAATTCAGACTGTCAGCTATTCATCTACCTCTGAAGCAGGGATGAGGAGCGCCTGGCTCCCGGGCCGTGTAAGACCTGCAGTATCATCTGGTCTGGCCCTCCCACGGCATCCACAGGCAGGATTCGAAATGCAATACATCCAAAGCAGGCTAAGTTTTAAGTTGATAATTTTACATGGCCCACAAATGATGTCATAAATACGCACATGGGCACCGGCACTGCGGCACAGTAGGTGAAGCCTCCATCTGAGCCACCAGCATCCCATAAGGGCGCCAGCTCGCTTCCCGGCTGCTCCTCTTCTGATCCAGCTCCCTGCCAATGGCCTGGGGAAGCAGAAGATGGCCCAAGTGCTTGGGCCCCTGCACCCACGTGGGAGACCCAGACGAAGCTCCTGGTTCCTGGCTTTAGATTGGCCCAGATCCGGCTATTGCGGCCATCTGGGGAGAGAACCAGCAGATGGAAGACCTTTCTCTCTGTCTCTCCCTCTGTCTGTCTGCAACTCTGCCTCTCAAATAAATAAAGAAATCTGTAAAAAATAATAATAATAAATATGCACATGGTCCTTGGTAGAAAAACGATCCCCCATTCCGGCTCAAAAGGGACCGGCAGGTTGCTTAAAAAGAAAAGTAAAGGCTGTTTTATTTATTTATTTTTTGGAGGCTTCTGAGGCGGCATCGGCACAGTGACATTAAAACGAAAAGCAGGAAGCACACACATACCTGAAGGAAGCAATCACCGCCGTGACTTCATCATCTGGGTAAAACTGCGTAATCGCGTGATGTGCTCCAAGCAGCTCCTTCCCATCTTTCCACCAAGAAATAACGGCGACGTCTTGGTAGATGTTAGGTATACTGATCGAGCAATTAAATTTGACGTCTTTATGTTCGGAAAGTATTATGTGTCCGACCGTGTGATTGAAAGCAAGAGGTGGTAGCTTGGACCCGGCAGGGGTCACGTGGGGAAGGGCTGCGTCTCCTGGGTGGGGGCGTCCAGGCTGGGCAGGTGAAAACATCAACACAGGCTGGTAGCCACTGGTGTGAGCGAAAGACGGTGGGGCGTGGTCAGCTGGCTGGCCTCCCGGAGCGGCTCCTGACAACGGCAGGTAGGGGTCAGCTTCTTCCCTTGCCTCGGCAACAGCTGCGGGACAGAACAGCCGATGTTTAGCTACTTAGATAAGGGAGAAGAGTTTTCCCAGTAGGTCCTTGACTTCCTTGGCCACACAATGAGTGAGAACCGACGACCCTCAGTGTCCTCAGAGGAGAGGAGCAGAGGGGCCAACGCTGTGGCACAGCAGGTTAAGCCACTGTCTGCTGCGCCGGCATCCCACGTGGGCACCGGTTCAAGTCCCAGCTGTTCCACTTCTGATCCAGCTCGCTGATAATGCACCTGGGAAAGCAGCAGAGGATGGCCCGAGTGCTTGGGCCCCTGCACCCATGTGGGAGACCCAGAGGGAGTTCTTGGCTCCTAGCTTCAGCTTGGCCCAACCCTGATCACTGTAGTAGCCATCTGGGGAGTGAACCAGCAGATGGAAGACCTCTCTCCACCCCCTCTCTCGCTGTAACTCTGACTTTCAAAAATAAATAAATAAATAAATCTTAAAAAAAAAAAAGAGAGAGAGAATCTGACATAGACATCAGACACCATTCTCAATTCCAAGTTCAGTCATTTGTTTACTTGTCACTCTCTCTTTTTTTTTTTTTTTTAGATCTATTTTTTATTTTATTTAGCCAGCACACATATGGGATGTCAACGCTGCAGGTGGCAGCTTAACCCACTACACTGCGTCAGCTCCTCACTTGTGTCTTTATAAAAAGTGCCTAAATCTAGGGGCTGGTGCTGTGGTATAGTAGGTTAAGCCTCCACCTGTGGCACCGGCATCCCAAATTCGAGTCTACCTCTTAAATAAATAAATAAATAAATAAACAAACCTACCTTTTTTTAAAAAAATAGAAATTTCCTTCATCAAAAATAATTTTTCCCCAAAGATGACTCAATCAAGGTCTTTATACCCAACTCTAACAGTAGGGTTCAATCATTTTCCCACAGTGCTAAGTCACACACTGTGCTGCCAATTTGGTCAGTGAGCTTGAAAAGGCTGCTACTGGTCCCAAGAGACCACTTTCCCATTTTTTTTGTCCAACAACCAAAGCATGTGACAAAGTGACTCAGAGCTTCCAGCCAATGTCCGCCTGCAGGAATGATCCGGGAAATGTTTTTGTTCATTGGGCGTACAAGTCTTTCTAAACCTATTGGCTCACGAGAGTGGTACTTCCAGCATGTCTGATGGCATTCTGAAGCATGCATGCTTGGCTAGTTATCAAGTCAAGCAAATTGGCTTCAATGGAGAAGGCAGGTGGGTAAGAGAGATGAAGGCCCCACATTTTACATTGTGGGATAGTAACTTGGGGTATACAGAGGAGCCCTATCCCTGTTCAGGATGTCACACCTTCCTGGGCTCCTGTGTGTGTGTATGTGTGTGTGTGTGTGTGCAGGGAGCAGCAGGATCTCTGTTTAGGATTGTGCCAAATTTAGCAAATAACCCAGGATGCCAAGTTAAACTTGAATTTCGGACAACCATTTTTAGTAAGAGCATGCAGCTACATCCTTAATTGGCTAATCAGAGGTACAAGGAGGTTTGAGGATGGAAGGGGGGAACCTGGGACTTTTTCCTCTGGTGTCTTCCCTGCTAAGTGACCCTGGACTGTACCTATCTCTCGACCGAGGCCATGGCCTCGGGGGGAGCCCTCCCCACACAGTGCTCTCCCCTTTCCAGACCTGCTCTCTCCCAAGCCCTCTTCTCTGCTGGGAGTGCTGGAAGTCTAACTCTGCTGGTGGCTGCCCTGGCGCTTGTCGCATTTAGGTTGTGCCTCCCTGGGGAATAGGATGACCACCAGGTGGAGGACAAGAGATTTCACTGCAAGAATCCAAGACGGGCTCCTTGCTCTTCCTTAGCCTGAGTTCTCCACGGGCGTGGGCGTGCAGGGTCCTCTGTGTGTTTTGGAGAGGGCTATCTGAGTCAGCCATGGCGTGGGCTGGCCTTGAGCCCTGTCCTCTGGGGAGATGAGTGTGCTGTGATGGCAGCACTCACTTATTCCAGTGAGTGGAGGTCAGGGGTCTCCCCAGAGGGGGCCCTTCCTCACCTGTCACCCAGGCATGCCAGGCCAGCCTCATTCCCAAGTGTGGTCCTCTACTCTTTGGAGGGGTAGAGGGGACTCTGGGTCCTACTCAGTTGCCACCTTCCTCTGGTTTGGGGGTGTTCTCTGCAACATTGATTCTCTGGCTGTTCATATCATGCCTGCAGAACCCCCTCAAGGGGCTTGACTTCCTCTCATTGCCTTTGAAACCTTCACATCTACCTTTGCCTCTTACATGGGCAAACTCACCTGTCGTTCGTTCTACATACACAGAGCTCTGAGGACTGAGGAGCCAGGGGTTTTGTCCCAATAATTTTTTTTTTAAGATTTATTTATTTATTTGAAAGGCAGAGTTACAGAGAGGCAGAGACAGAGGCGGGGCGGGGGAGAGGAAGAGGGAGAGAGAGATAGTCTTCTATCTACTGCTTCACTAACCAAACGGCTGCAAAGGAGAGGGCTGGGGCCAGTCTGAAGCCAGGAGTCAGGAGCTTCTTCCAGGTCTCCCACACGGGTACAGGGGCCCAAGGACTTGGGCCATCTTCCTCTGCTTTCCCAGGCACATTAGCAGGGACCTGGACTGGAAGTGGAGCAGCCCGTATGGGATACCAGTGTCAAAGGCAGAAGCTTAACCTGCTATGCCAGAATGCCAGCCCCAAATTCAGTTTCTTTTTTCTTTTCTTTCTTTCTTTCTTTTTTTTTTTTTTTTTTTGGACAGGCAGAATTAGACAATGAGAGAAAGAGAGAAACAGAGAGAAAGGTCTTCCTTTTTCTGTTGGTTCACCCCCCAAGTGGCCACTACAGCTGGATGTGACAGCAGGGGCTTGGCGGGCAGTGCTGCTCAGTGGTTAGCCAGCAATGTGCACCCAGTCCCCTACTGCCTAAAGGCATGACTTCAGCAAAACTCTTTATGCTCTCTGAACCCTAGCAAAGATAACAGGAGCTTGGTGGTGGCAGGTGATGTGTATGGGTCCACTGGGCCCCTGGCTGACTGGTGCCATTGCTATTAGCTGGCTTTTGAACTTTGGCCTGCTGGCCACCTGGAGCTGGACTTTCTGAGGCCAGGTCTGGGCCTTGTGGGAATGAGGCTAATTAGTGACGTCTACTGGGGCAATGCCTGAGAATGGCATACCAGTGCAATATCCTCGCCAGCCATGTGTGAGGGGGGAAAACAGACTTCTGGCTTGTGATGAGAAGGGGCACTCTGCCCGAAGGAATCTAAGGCTGGCCTCCCAGCCTTTCCCAACTAACCTAAGCACCTTCTGATTTCCTTGAAGCCCAGTGACCACAGTCCAAGGTAGAGGGAAGCAGCAATGATGACAACTGCAGGTTCCAGGCTGGTGGGTGGGTGGCAGCAGGCAGCCCTAGAGTCCCTCCAAGCTCTGCAGAGTGGTGGGAGCTGGTAGGTGAACACTGCTCAGTAGACGGTACCCTTGGGGTTATGCACTGTCTGCCTGCTCTCTACCCCAGTCACCCAGGAAGTGAGGGACAGCCCCTGGTGGAGTGGTGGTGGTGGAGTCCAGCAGGTCTGAAGCGCCAGCCTGGAGGTCCTCTGCCCCTGCTCTGCTCTTTCCATTGTTCTCAGGAGAGTTCTCTAAGTTCAGCATCAAAATCAGGAGGCCCAGAGGAGGCTGCGAGAATGCAAATTTATCCTGAACTCCTCGGGGTTCTTTGCTTCTCATTGTATGGAGCACTTTGGGGTATGCGTGGGCAGCCTGACCCATGTACTTTACCTCCACGCCACATGCTGAGGTTTCCTCTCTGGGCCTCTGCCTGTGGGCAGATTTGCTGTCAAGCAACCCTCTTCAGACATGGAGGAGAAAAGCCTTCTTCTGGGGGTGAGTGTGCTCTTGACAGAAAGGCTTTTGCGGGGCCGGCGCTGTGGCGTACCGGGTAAAGCCACCGCCTGCAGCGCCAGCATCCCATATGAGCACAGGTTTGAGTCCAGTTCCAATCCAGCTCTCTGCTGTGGCCTAGGAAAGCAGTAGAAGATGGGCCAAGTGCTTGGGCCCCTGCACCCATATGGGAGACCCGGAGGAAGCTCCTGGCTCCTGACTTCGGATCGGCGCAGCTCCGGTCGTTGGCGCCAATTGGGGAGTGAACCAGCAGATGGAAGACCTCTCTCTCTCTCTCTCTCTCTCTCTGTGCCTCTCCTTTTCTCTCTGTATAACTACGACTTTCAAATAAATAAATAAATCTTAAAAAAGGGAAAAGAAAAGAAAGGCTTTCGCATCTGGAATCCAGTTGTTGCCTGCACTCCCCCCCCCCCCCCGCCCAGCAGAAAGGTCCAGATGGTGCCAGCCCCATTCCTTGTGCACCCCCCACCCCCTGCCCAGGTCGATATTTGAATTGTGTCCCTGGGTCACTTCACCCCAGTCCCCACAACTAGGCCAAACACCAAACAAGCAGACATTTCCGACCGCTATGCTTTGAGGCAAACACAAAAGATTCCTGACTGATGGAATGATAGCAACACTCAATGAGTGGAAAAATATAACCTTTAACCAGAAGTCACTCAGCCTGATTGATGGCTCCCAAACTGTAAATGGTAATCATTAACTCTGCTGGGGGGAAATGCCTTTAGACCTCTCGGAGAAAAGTAGAGGAAAAAAGGAGAAGAACCTACTGACCTTGAGTCAGCCCTCAGGGAGAACAGGCCTGGGGCCCAAGGGAAGGGAAGGGGAGGGGAGGCCCCAAATGCCCCAAGAGGTCACAGCTGCATGCAACAGGAGGAGCAAAGGGAGGTGCCTGCACAGTCCAAGGCCGTATAGTGGAACACATATCACTGCGCTGGCTGCGTCAGATTGTGTACGTGGGCCACAGCAGCGTATAGTCACCAAACAACAAAAAAGTGGGGGACACCCTTTTGTACCTGAATTTCAAACAAACTACAACTAGGCAAGACGGAAAACCAGCTGGAGCCAGCGCTCCCCCTGGGCGTTCACTGTTGCCCTCCCTAGGGCTCTGCTCCCTTACAGCAGGATAAAGAGTGGATCTGAGATGGAC